TATATATATATATATATCTTTAATAAAAAATATATATTTAAATTAATATAAATTTTATATAAATTTATGTTTATATATGTATATATAATAAATTTATATTTACATATATATATAATAATTATATGTGTTATTTATATAGTTATTTATATATATATATATATATTTCTTTCACTAGTTAAATTAACCGAAAACTCCAACACACCCGCGGCACGCGGCAAACGCATCCGCGACATTCTCAGAACTCCAAGTTGACAATGCGATCTTGACTAACAATAAGCGCCGACGCGAAAGTAATCCCGGGCACGTGACACGCTCAAAACTCGATTCTCTCACAGACACACGAGATTTCACGGCGGAGATGTGGCTCACTACCGTTTTCCGATTACGCCCGCATCCGTCGAGTCTCGCGCGAAGAAGATGCAACACTACAGTGAATAGTGACAGAAAATTTGTTTTGAAAAGCAGATAAGCAAATATAAAAGTGTGAAAACTTTTTTTGTATCATCAAATTCGGATTGTAACATTGCGTTGTGCAAATCTGCGGTTTCGTTTATAATCACCAAGATTTATTTGAGATATTTAACATGATTAATTATTTTAGAACAAAAAATTATGATTTTCTGAGAGAATAAAATAATTAATAGATATACATGTTACTTAGGTGTAATAATATTATATAATCTAGTGAAATAATGATGAAGTGATATAATAGTGCAAGTACTTCAGAAATAAAAGTGATGTCACTATTCAGGCACCTTCTGGTTCCGCTGCTCTTCAGCGGCGAGAGCCGCACGAGAAGAATGGATTACGATAGTGAGTAGATTTGTTTCGGATAAAAGAAATTATATATTATTAAGAAGGATTACAAAAAAATATCGTCAAAAATAATAAAAGTTGTCTTTCAAAACGTGTGAAATTTATGAAATAATAATGAGATGACGTCCCACACCCACACACACACACACACACACACACGCGCGTAAACTTAAAAATATTTTTTTATTTGCTTGGTCAAGGTTATTATGTAAATTAGAATAAGAGTAAACGAAAGCAATGAATTACTAACAATCCTCAACGGGATGAGGTTAAGCCAACAAAGCTGTACTATTTTTGCAAACGTTGCGAAGTAACGGACGATTTATTGCGAAACGTTAGACCGTACTGTCCACTTACTCGCTGCACGTATTATGCATTCCGATAACTCAGATTGTTTTTTTTTATAAACCAAACAAATAAATTTTATATTCCAGAAAAAGGTCTAATACTGGAGTTATTCACCGTTGAATGAAAAAACTTTTTTTTATTCAATTTCAAATGGACTTTAACATCATTTCAATAAAAAATATTACGCTTAATTAATATTAATTATTATTGATGTGTGATTTATTTTATTAATTCTTAAAATACTTGATGTTGAAAATTAAAATATTAAAGAAATCTCTAAACAAATAAATACCGTTGAATCGGAAATATTACGTAATTTCGATTAAATTTTTTGGCAGCAAAATTACAGAATTTTTTATCAAAAAAGTCAAATAAAAATTCGCGACTTTTGGTGCAGTCGCTGTGTAATCGCGTCAGTGTAAAAAAACGATGAGATGTGAAAGCGCGAAAGACGTGGAGCTTTTTCAATGCGCGGCGAGCGGAAAGCTCGCAAGCTCGCTGTAACATACAGACGTTGTCTCTGTTTCCTCGGAAAATGTCACGAGACACCTTGCAGCCAGGGGCTTTCATAAAAATCTACTATGTCGCGAAGGAAAACGAGCGTTGTCGTCACGTTCACAAAGCGAGGTGCTCGAGTTTCCGTACTTTTCGAATGCTCGATCGAGGGCGCGCAAAGTGCACGATCGTATGCATCGGCGGATGCAAACACCTGCACCGAAACTTTCGCGCGGGCGAGAGATGGAAACGCCCGGTCGATTCTACCTTTCTCCCCCGCCGCAGTTCCGAAAGTACCCACTAAAGTGAAACTTCTAAACCTGCTCGTATAAATTTCAGATTTTGTGGCTCCATTGTTGCCGAGAAGCAAACCGCAAATTTTACCGAACTACTCGGGTCGGAATTATTTAACCTCGAGGTACTCGCACTGTTACCATATTTTGTACACGGCTAATAGTTTCTCAAACACTAACTTACTAGAAGCAGCTGGTACACACAATTGAATATGAAAACAAAAAACATATTGATGTAAAAAATATCCTATTGTGAATCGAAAACAATTGAAGAATTTTACATTATAATTAAGTTTCCGAATATAATTAAGTCCGATTATACAATTTTATACATTTTTCGCGTACAGAAGTATATCAATTAAACAGCAGTTAAAGTACATAAGAGATAATGCTAGCACCTAAGAATAACAGCATGATTGTCTGCAAATTTTTTAATTTTGCGATATTAAATATCCATAAAAATCAAACGTCAAATTAAAGTGAAAATAGAACAAGTGTAATTGGACTAATTCAGAAATTAAATAATTTTTTAATCAATTTTGGTTACGTTCTTCTTAATCGACAAAAATTTCTTCAATTAATCGTAGTACTAAATTTGACGACCTGACGTTTTCACTATTGTTAAGAAGAAATCAACTCTAATAATAAGTGGACCGAAAAATATATCATTTGTTGATTAATTAAAATGAAATAGATATATATACCTACATATATATATTAATTACGAAAACCGCACAATAATATTATACATAATTCAAAGATATAATTCAACTGTGATTATCTAATTATACTATTGAATAATTCCAACCAAATACATTGAACGATGGCAATTCGGCCGCAAGTAAACACTGAATATATGACACTTTACAAACCTATTTGTGATATCACGCTACATTTCCGGCGAAACCTCGAATCTGGACTTGGGGGCAACGGACGAACGTCCGTTAAAAATACTGCCGATAGTAATTATTTAAAGGCATGCAAGTGGATATTTTGACACAATCGCGTAGAGCTAGCCGGAACGTGAGCCGTTGCTGTCTAGTAACGATGTCATCGGATATTCTATGGAACTCTACGTGTCCAGGAATACACCCGTGGGATATACGTCTATATCCTACGTGGGCACGCGTACATATACATATGCAGCATATACATACGTATACACGGCACACCACG